GTGGGACAGGCAGGCAGAGGTGGGGTGGGGCTGTGGTGGGCTCTTCCTAGTATGTGAAGGGGAGGGGCGAGGGCTGGGCTGGGGCTGTGCTCAGGGCGGGCAGCAGCAGTGCTGGGAGGGGGCTGCAGCCGCCCCAAATTTTGCTGTAGCCCCCTCACTGCTCCCCCAGCGCCATCACCGCCCAACCCGAGCACCACCCTGGCCCAGCTCCTGCCCCAGCCCCCCATATACTGGGAAGAGCCCAGCGCAGCCCCAGCCCGCAGCTGCAGCCCATCCTGCCCGCATCCTGCACAGATCCAGGGGCATATGCCCCCCACCATGCTCTCCTGGGGTGTGTGCAGTGGCGGGAGCCACCCCACTCTCCCTGGACAAGCTGCGGCTCCATCCTGTGCCCTGCCCTACCCCAGCTGGGCAGTGCCTGCCCTAGCCCCCGCCCCAACCCCAGCTCCACTCTCTCCCTCACCACAGACAGCCTTGACCTGCCCCCCCAACCCACAACAGACTTACCAGCTGCACACAGCTCTCCAAGTTGCCAGACTGTGCACCTTGCTGTCTATGTGCTGTGCTGCAGCTGAATGCATGCATGGGCATTTATCGCCCACATCAAGTTGATTTCCGATACAGTTCATTTTCTTTATATTGGTGCCTATCCAATATCGGATCAATTTATCGGTGCACCTCTATAAAAAATTCAATAAAAGTACCAGTGTACCCAGATCTCCTCCCCTGTACAGGGTAGGTAACCTAATAGATTATTCCTAAGACTTTTCTTTAATCTGAAAGCTTGTTTGTAATTTGGAAGAACTATTAAGTTCTAGCTAAACACTTCACTAATTTAAAAAGTTAAAATATGTGGGCTGGAGTGCTCACCTGTTTCTTCAAGCGCTCAATAAATAAAGGTTACACTAACTGGAATTAAGATAGCAGCTGCTTTAGAAGGAAAATGATCTAGTAATTGTTGGCAGTTAAAGCAGACCCATGCATGCTGCCATCATAGCTCTCATCAAAGAAAAAACTCCACAAAACTACTGAGAACTTTGCAATTAGATGGTAAGAAAGCAAATCAGACGTAGGGTTCCAGGTCAAAATCAAAACTGTTCCATGTTCTGGTCCCAAAATCTTTCTCTCTCAATACTGTTCCAAGAATCTGTATCACTATTGCTTGTAGCTATCCAGACAAATAAGCAAGCAAACTCCTGCAAGAGTCTTTTGTTCAAATTTAATGCATCTCTGTTACATTTAGTGCATGTTATAGTAAGGAAAGCTGCAAAATTATGAAGCCTAAAAAATGACAGCCTCCAATTGCTCAAATATGTCATCTTAGACAATGATCATGTTAGTGCCCCTATATGAGTCTGTTAGCTCACATTGATTCGGGCTGACCACTACTTTTAGCTGGCGCTCTCTCCATACACACTGAGACTATATCAATTATAATGAACATCATCAATATGCCAACTATGGTGGTGGCACTTTTAAATAGTACCCATAACCCTTCCCCAATTCAACTGAGGAGCCTGAAGGACTGCATCCGTTAAGCAGCTGTTCACTACAAATTTTCAAAAACCCACATTTTATGACACATTACTCATCAGATTGTAATAACTGTACCATTTTCCCCCAGGTTGGACTGATATTAGTAACCTGGACATGTGTTAAAGAGCTTGTTTTTAATTTATCAGCAATGTTGCTGACTACTGAAGCTCAATGATCTATTTCTCCCTGTCATCAAAGTGGTGAGTCTGAAAACAGTGTGTGTGGGGGGGGGTTTAAAACTCTTCCAAAAATATTTTTCTAGAAGGTGTGTAAATTATTAAAGAAATGGGAATGGCTTACCTGAACAAGAAAAATGATGAGAAAATAAAAGTTAGCTATTCTTCTGAATTGCTCAAACAAGTTCTTCGGTACAAAGTTCCAAAATGTGTACTAAAAAATATACATATAAAAAGAGTATTAAAGTGTTTGTGATACTACTACTTCTTTACAGTCATGCCACACTACATTACTGACAGCAAAGATCATAGGCATCTATACATATACAGGCACACCCTTGAAGAATCAAACTAGCTCAAAATTTACAAACAAAATTTAAATATCACAAGTTGGATTAAATTTTTGCAAACTCATTCACATAAATTCACTGATAAGCAACCTTCTCAGAATCATGCAGCTGATAACTGATATTCAAGGTACCCCTGTCGCACTCAACAGTTTCACTCAAATCCGAGTTCTGGCCATTCACTGAACTAGGTTTATATGGCAACACCATCCAGTTAGATGTTTAGTTGAGGAGCAGTTGGTGTAAAGCTACTAAGTGAAGGATTTAGTCCTAGAACTATTGCTTAGTCTAAGGATGCAACAAACTCCTCTCCATTTTTTAACATGCTAAAGGTGCTTTGACAGCAAATCAGGAACAAAACTAAAGTTGTAAACCTCTTTTACACTCATTAGCTTTTAGTTACGCATACCCCTCCAAACAACAAAAAAGTACTAAGAAAGTTTATGGCTGCAAAGCCTTTACTTAATAGTTAAGCAAAGGCTATGCAGTTTTTTAATTTATATAACAGTTTTGCTATTCATATAATATGACATCAAAAGGTATAGTATATGAACAAGTAAACAAAGAATGTATAAGCTTGCTCTTTATCTGCCTATTTGGTCATGAAAATGACATATCTAAACAGAAAAAATTATGGCTAAACTTGGTGTAAGAATGTGTGATATACAACTTAAGAAAACTGAAACTAATATCCTACACAGCCAAATACTGATTTGACACAGACAAAAAAGATCAGTATTACTGCAAACTTGCACATCTAGGGAGCAGGGCAGGGATTCTCCAACTGATTGTTTTTGCTGCCCTTCCCTCTTCTTGGCAAGTTACATTGGTTGTTTCTTGATATGGAAATTACACTACCATTTACATTACCACTGAAATTGGCTCTCAAAACATATGTAAAGCCTTTAGCTGGGATGTCAAAAAGACGGAACTCCTGTATAATTTATTGGTGAACTTCATTTACATAGGAAATGCCAATACAAATACTCATTTGGATTTATATTTACTGATCTTACATGCAGGAGGAAATGTCCCCATCATCATGGTGTGAACAAAGGGGTAACAGACTTGTATCTAAATATGCCCCGAGTGAAGGGGAGAGAAGGGGGGGAATTCTCAACCTAACCTGATAGAGTTGCATAACACTCCTGCCATCTACTCCTGCCATTCTGGGTAATAGGGGAATGAGCCAAAAGCCAGGCATACCTACTAAGTAAAGAAGTTAAAAGGCAACGTTCTCTTATCTTACTGTTAGAAGGAAGTTTCAGGGTTTGAATCCTCCCCCTTACTGAGCAGCGGAGCTTAAAAAACAAAGCTGAATGGATTTCACTGAGTTTCCCCCCTAGGTAGCAGAGGTATAGAACAGGCCTGTGCAAAGTGGCTAGTATTTGCTTTGGACTCGGCTGACTTGGGGGACAGTGATTTGATTTGGTGATTCCAATCACTGTCCTAAACTGATTTGGCCAAATCTGATTTGGTGATTTGGCCGCTGCTGGATCAGACGAATCTCCAAATCAAACAGGTCCCATCCCCTGCCAGTTCTTCCAGATCCGTCAAGGGCTGCCCTGCCCGGGCCCAGCGTCCTGGCACTTAAAAAAACCCCCAAAATAAACAAAAAAACCCCACCTTCACTGGCTGCTGCTAAGAGTGGGGGCAATACCCGCTGCCCCCCACTGCCCTGCACTGTGTGGGGGGGCTCTGCCATGAGCCCCCCAGACGCCCCAATGGCCTCTGTAGCAACCAGTGAGTGCGGGGCTTTCTTTTTTTTTAAGTGGTGGGATGCTGGGGCCAGGCAGGGCAGCTATTGATGGTGCTGGAAGAGCAGGTGGGGATCAGGGGGCGCTCAGGGAGGCTGGGGGAGCAGGCAGGGGATGGGGCCTGGCAGAGGTCCCCCCATGGGCCCTTCTCCCCTTTTCCAACCTTCCCCTCCCCACCCCCTACTTACTGGCACAGAGTCTGGGTACAGCTCCCTGCAGTGGTGAGCGGGGACTGCCTGAATCGCCAAATCTCCTCCGAATCTTTTTCTAAATTGATTCAGACATTTTGAATCAATTTGGACCTTTTTATTTGTCTTCTGATTCAATTTGGATTCAGAGATTCAGCCGCTGAATCAGGTCGAATCTCCCCAAAATCAAATCGGCAACTGAAGCTTCACAGAGTCCTAGTATAAAGCTCCCACCTAGAAAGGAAGAGACAGTGCAGAAAAGAGGTGTTCCCTCTATGCAGCAAAATCACTAAGGGCTGAAAGCACATAAGGCTAGATTAGGGGGTAGAACTCTGATTTACTGTGGTAGTGAAATACAAGGTCACAATAGCAGCAAAAGCAAGGCACCTGCTACCCAGCAACTGTAGAGCTGTGACCAGTGATAGGTGGGACAGATGGCAGGGGTGTTATGCAACTCTTATCAGGTACACAGAGCAGAACAGAGTTATCATGTAAACCAGAGGCAGAGTGGCAAGACAAGATATCACTGAAGTAGTGGCTAGCAACAGAACAACAGTGGCAAGACAACACAGAGATGGCAGTGAGATATTTCTTAATGGAAGCAAGAGCCATTTTCCTCACTGTAGGGCTGGAGGCAAACCTCCAGACGCTGGGACTTTTTTAAGCTCTTGTAACAAATAAGTGGTGTTAATGGATGGACTGGAAAAGTGTTATATTGGAGGGATATTTATTCGTTAGACATTCAGCCTACAAAGTGGGAAAAATGATGTGAAGGACTACTGCCAAAAATATTGCAGGCATGGTCTTTACATCCTATTTGCATACTATTGACTTATTGTCGCTGCGTTTTTCCAAATGAATGCCATGCTTTCTCCCTCTGTAATAAATGCTCTTCTTGTTTTATTTACAGACTTATTGCTTGTAAGTGAATAAATACTGCTCAGAAGGCACCCAGGTATTTGGCTTTCCTGTTCTTGGGTGGATACCCAAGCCAGTTTTGTTTTGCAATTTAAAAAAGAACCCCTACATACAGAACCTAGCATTTATAGCTGCTGCCAGCATATGGTAGAAAGGTTCACATAAAAATGGACTTTAAAATTTCAGAAGGTTATGGACAATACTCAGTTGTTGCCAGAGTTCTAGAATATGGAATAGGCATTGCAACTGAAATAATCATTTAGAAATGGTGGCTTGAAAGGGGTTTAGGTGATTGACACGGAGGGAAACAAGATGGGAACAAATATATTCAGAGATAAGGAGGCAATAGCAGGTGGTACCCACATGGAATGTGGATTTGTTCTGGTTGGAGAAGGAGATAGGTATGTAGAGGAAAGAGAAACAGAGCTGGTGGGAAGTGTAGGGCTAGGGACAGAAGTTATACATAAACTGGTATAAGTGATTGGTAACTGGTTCAAATCTGTAACACAACAGAAGTTCAGTGCACAGAAACAGCTTTCAAAGTGGCCAAAGCTGGTTTACAATAAACCTGGATGAATGTAGCGTCAGACTTAATTGATTTAGGTTAAATCAGTTTACTGAAATTCTGCTCCAGATCCCCTCCAGATTCAAGTTAACTTGCAGTCCTCCAGCATCCCAGGATGCTTTCCACCTTCCCCACCACAACCAACCCCTCACAGGATGGGAGGGCTAGCTTTGGCTCAAACTGTCCGTGCCAACCAAGCAGGGAGATGTGCTCTAGCATCCCCCAGCTCCTGGTCTGGGCCACTGCAGGCATGAGGCTGCATTTCCAGAATCAAAAGTGAGAGTCTGTTTACTTACTTATTGGTTCAGTCTACACAGCTTAGCTAACCTGCGAAAGCTGAACTGATTCAGCCTTGGGCTTTTTGACAGACTATACTTAGCCTAGAGGGTTACAGGAGTGGGGAAATGGAATCAGGGGAAGGATAAAGAAAAGGGATGCTATGTTGCAAGGCCCACAAGTGAGTTTCAAGAGGGACAAGATTACCAAAAAAGAAAGTAATAGCTTTTTTATTGAAGTTTTGGGGCAAAAACATGCTAAATAATGGCACTGAAATTGAGATGACAGCCTGGGGTGGAAGGAAGGGGGAAGGGTGCATAGAGTAGGAGGCAGACTGGTTCCAGCTGTGAGAATTTACCCCTGGAACTGGTCTGTGCAGGGGCAAAGGGTGAGATGTAAAATATTTGGAAATTCGGAGGGTATGGAAAAAACCCATGTTCCCAACCCCCATTTTTTTTTTGAAAAATTCAAATATATGCAATATTTATTTTCTTATCTATATACATTTACTTTACCACATTAAGAACATAAAATATATTATGTATAACTTAACTAGCACATAAAGTTGTAATGTTTGGTATATTCAGGAAATTTAAAAGGATAAATGCCTTATTATTATTTGAATAAAACTAAGGCATTTAAAATAATTATTAGTAATTATTGTTACAGCTGGAGGCACAAGCTGCTGCACCCTAAGGTACTTAAGCATGTCTTAGTTGTTGCCAGCTCATGAAAACTAGGAAAAAAATAAAAGTTTAAAATAGAAACCATCGACATTTTAGTAAATAAAAGGAAGTTTTTATTATCTGGACTTAGAAAGCCTCTTTCATACAGTCAGCATTCTCCAGAAACAGAAGAAACTCAGATTTTTAGAAAAAGAGCTCAGAAAAAAATCCCTTGTATATCACTTAATCAAATATATCCTTGGAAATATTAGCATCGTAAGTTTCATTGTCTAATCTGAGTCAGACTCCACTTCTGAAATATCAATATTTTCTGATTCTGAACCTTCATTTTTATCTTCATGGACTTCAGAAAACTTAAGGTTTGCACTGATTGAAACAAGCTTCTCTACTGTTTCACAGGTTAGTGTATTTCTTGATTTGGTGTCTATATTTCCTAACATAGACCACTTTCTTTCATGTGCTGCAGAAGATGGAGGA